AGTGGAAACAAGAGTTTGAATGTGCAGGATGTTACGAAGGGAGAAATGGCAACATTTGGCAGCTGGTTGTATGTGTGTTGTCCATTCATTTTAGTCATGTCTGACTCTTCGTGGCCCCATTTGGAGTTTTCTTGGCCAAAGTGCTTTACAAATATTATCTTATTTGATATTATTACAAATATTATCTTTACAAATATTATCTCATTTGATCCTCCCAGCAATCCTTCGAGGTAGATGTTGTTCTTATCCCCATTTTACATTTGAGGAAACTGAGGCAAATAGAAGACTTACTGTGGATCACACAGCCAGCGAGTATCTGAGGCTGGATTTGAGCTCAGGTCTTTCTAACTATAGGCCCAGCAATCTGTGCCACCAGGTGCCTACTTTGGCTTTAGGTTGTCTCTGGGACATCAAGTTGGAAACATCTAATTAGAAGTGTAGGAGTTAGAAATATGAGATATACTAGGCTGAACTTCAGAGAGAAAGGGCTGGATATGTAGATCTGGGGGTCACCTGCATAGAGATTATAGTTAAACCCATGGGAACTGATGAGATTACCAAGAGAATGTACAGAAGGGGAAGAGGGCCCAGGACAGAACCTTGAGGAATACTCATAGTTAGGGGGTGTGATATGAATGACGGGCTAGCAAAAGGAAACTTAGAGCTGTCCAACCAGTTTAAACAAAAGATGCTGTCAGAGGGGAGGGAGGAGGGGGCATGGAGAAGAAACTTGGAAAGGCTGCCTGTAGAAGGTGAGTTAAGAGCTAAGTCTTGGAGGAAGCCAGAACCTGGAAGAGGAAACTGAGGAGAGAGAATGTTGCAGGCATGGGGACAGCCAGTGCAGAGTAGTGTTTTGTGTAGGGTGCTTGGTGTGTAATAAGACAGAAAGTAAAGAACATTGGAAAGGTAGGAAGGAGCCAGGCAATGAAAGGCTTTAAATGCTAAATGTATGACTTTATATTTGATCCTGGTGATAAGAGGGAGCCAGTAGATGTGATGGGTTTGAGCGATGACATAGTCAGATCTGTATTTTAGGAAAATCAGTAGAAAGAGACCTTTGAAGCACAGCGATAGTCCAGTTTAAGAGATGATGAGGACCTGTACTATTTATGAATGACAATATTTAAAGATAGCAATAAAGCAAAAGACATTGGGATTTGTAAGAAAGGAAGTGAAGATAGCCAGCTTAGCCCTCCTGCCCAGGAACGTTCTTTTCCAGAAGCTGAATTGTACTAACTGTTTTTTCATCAGTATAGTCACTTGGCATTTCAGTAGGTGGTGGTGCATCTGGGCAGAGGCTGTTGAAGATCTTGGATGTATTGATTAGGAGAAAACTGCAGAGGGCAGTAAAGTATGTTGTTAAGAAAGTGGCAAGGCTTTTTTTTTGTTTTGTTTTGTTTTTTCTCTAAGGTTTAATTTCCCCTCTGGAGGACCATCTCCAGTCATTTTGATCTATATCTGGCCACTGGACCCAGATGGCTCCAGAAGAGAGAGTGAGGCTGGTGACTTTGTACAACCCTCCCTCACTTAAATCCAATTCACTTACAAGTCATGGCATCACCTTCCTGATGTGATCCTCTTCAAGAATGAAGGACAAACAACGATTTCCTCTCTGAGGCCTATGTCTTGGAGACCAAGTTGTCCCTGAACTCCTCCTTTGTTCCTCAGGGTTCCCATTTGTGATCCTTTAACTTCCACAAAGGGATCCCATATTAGTTGATTGCTGTCCTTTGTCACTATGTTGGGGTCAAGGGTACAGTGCCTCCTGGGTGTAGTGTACTCTGCATAGTATAGGAATGTACTCAGATACAAACATAAATAAGGCATGGTTCCTGCTCTCAAGAATCTTACAGTCTTGTCAGGAAAATAATATATACATAAATGTGTAGTAGTTCAAGAGTATAATCCTTCATTAAAGTCCTGTCTTAATGTCTAATTATGGCATTGAAGCAACTCTGGATTCTCAAAAGCTACAGAAAGGTAACCCAAGCCCTACAAAGCTAGAATGAGTTTGAATACAAACATCCTCAATGATAAGCCAAGATCTATCATCTGAAACTCAGCCTTTCTAAGTGAGACTCCATGACAGAAGGTTGACCATAAGGTGGATTGTTGAGAGGACCATAGCAGCTCCTGAAGGTTATCTACTAAGATGTGGAAGGGTAACAGTTTACATTGGGCACTGTCAGTCACAAATCTTTGGAAGTCAAATAGAATTATCATGAGTGCATAAGAGTATAAAATGCTTTTTTAGAACAGTATTTGATCTTTGTTAGAATTAGTGCTAAATTAGTACTAAAATGTGAGTGAAAGATGATGTTCACAGGTCATGGTAATAAGAGTCCTACATGTTCCTTACACTTAGAGTATATTCATTTAAAAACTTTTTTTTCCCCCAAAAAAATTTTTTTAAGCATATTGTGTACTAGACTTCTGGTGAAGATGGCTGCCTGAGCAAGGCCAAACTGCCCATCTTCAACATACCTCCTGCTGCAAAAATCTGAAATTTGTACCAGATTGAAGTCTATGAGAAACTACAGTGACTTCTTCCGCCCCAGAACTACAAAAAATCGGCCAGAAGCCAGCGAGCAACAGAAAAAGAAGTCGCCAACAAAGCTCGTGCCATCATAGCCAGCTCCAGCACAGGCAAACAATCCTGTAGTTTCTCAGCATGATTAGAGAGAGGCCAGAAACATGTAACCTTCAAGGCTCTGTATCCAGAGGAAACAAAAGTGGCTCCTGCCAGCCCTCTGAATGCCTTGGGACTGGGACCTTGAAAGCCCCAGGGAGTATCAGCAACTAGTGCTGTAGAGCAGTGCTCGAGACAGGGACAGCCCAATTGCCCAGGGACTCTGTGATCCCTAGCACTCTGCTCATCAAAGACAGAGAGTACCCTGAAGGTCCAGCTCTCTAAACCTCAGAGATCCAAGTGGGCCTCACCCCAGGAGATGGAGGTCATTGCAGGAATCCTGACCACCCCCACCCAGAAGCATAGCATGGAGCAGAGCCTGGCCCTCACACAAAGCCCCAATTCAGGAACTAAAGCTGGAGAGATAAGTAAACCAAAGAAAATATCACACAGTTTAAAAAATTAAAGATCTAAAGATTTCCCAAAAGAAGGAGAGTAGTTCTGTAATGACTGCAAACAGAGACTAAAAGGGAAAAATGGATTTTCCACAAGAATTACATGAATATTTAGAAGAAATGAAGCAAGGGATAAAAACATGCAAGAAAAACTCTGGAGGAAAGAATTGAAAGAATAAATAGCTTAAAAGAGAAAGTGGTAAACCTTACTTGATAAGAAAACTAAAATAGATCAAACAAAAGTCAGACCCTATGAGACAACAGGAAATAATAGAATACTTTGAAAAGATTGAAAAAAAATTCAAGAAAATATTACATATTTGATATAAAAAATGACCTGGAAATCAGGTCAAGGAGAGATAATTTGAGTCATTGGACTCCCTGAAAACTATGACCCCCAAAAAAACCCTGAACTATAATGTTCAGAAATCATGTTTCAATGATTTCCATAATTTTATTGTTTAAATAGATGTTTCAAGAAATCATGAATGAAAACTGTCTAGATCCATTTGAACCAGAGGGCAGAGTAATGATAAAAAGGAATCTATTGATCATCTCCTGAAAGAACCCATACCCCCTAAGGAAAAGTCTTAGGAATATCATAATCAAAATCCAGAGATCTCACCAAAGATACCTAAAAGGCTATGTTACGGAGAACTCGCACAAGGCAAGCACTCACATGGTGGTCAGAAGAAGTGATACAAGGACACTTTCAAGGGCTCTCTGAAGAACTTTGGAATTGATTGGGTGACATGGAAGATGCTGGCAAAGAAATGCCCAGCATGATGTGCCCACATCAAAGAAGGTGCTGCCCTCTGTGAGCAAAGCAGGATTGAAGTAGCTCAAAAGAAACACGAGATGCACAAATTTAGAGATTCCACCCCAAATGTTCACATGGACTATTTGCGTCCGCCCTGTGGTAGAACATTCTAAGCTGGTATTGGTCTCATCAACCACAGATGGACACACTGTGCCTTGATGCTGACATAGTGATGTCATTTGGGTCCTCTTTGAGAACAAAGGAGAACAACCAATGTTTCTACTACACTAAACTTCTTTTTCATCTGTGACTAAGTCATCATCCTTCACTAAAAATACTAGAGGTTGATTTAAATAAATATTTTACTGAAAATTTTGTGACATCCATTAGATAATTTGAGATGGCCCATGGAATCAAAGAGCCTCTAGATGGTACCGTGGCTAGAATACTGGGCTTGGAATCAGAAAGACTCATCTTCTTGAGTTCAAATCCGGCCTCAGACACATCCTAGCTGTGTTACTCTAGGCAAGTCACTTAACCCTGTTTGCCTCAGTTTCCACATATGTAAAATGAGCTGGAGAAGGAAATGTCAAACCACTCCAGTATCCTTGCCAAGAAAAATCCAGTGGAGTCATGAAGAGTCATATATGACTGAAACAATCCAAGAACAACAAAAATGGAATCTAAAGGTCAAGATTGGGAATAATAATAATTGCTTATATTTGCATATAGCACATAATATTGTGATGATAAGAGTGTGGGACTCAGAATCAGAAGACTTGGTTTTGTGTCCTGGCTCCAACTCTTATTAGCTATGTAGCTGATTGATTTCCTCCATGAGCTGAGGCCTCTGTTCATGCTACATATTGTGGGGTCTTATGAGGAAACCTTAACTTATATAAGTGTTATCTGTGGTAATTAGAGCTTTACAAATATCACCTCATTTGACCACTACTCTTATTGTTTTCCCCATTTTCCAAAAGAAGCAGTGGAAGGAACTGCTGTGCTCAAGTGAAGTTTTATCTTTGAGGGAAGTGTAACCCTGGGTTTGAATATTCTTGGGGAAAGGGACCAAGCTTTATGACCAATTTTAGTTCAGTGTGGATTAGATTATAATGATTTAAAAGATACTAAGTGAACTCATTTAATTCCCCAGTTGATTGGAGTCTCCCAGGATGGCTGTGCAAGAGAAATACCCAGGCGGGAGGATTTCCCAATCCAGTCCAGCAGGTAAATATTCTAAAGTTTTCTCTGCCAAATCCTACCCTGGGTATATTCTTTCGTTTCTTTTAAGGGAAGAAGGAGAAAGACATAATTCACTGAAGTGTCAAAACTAAGCAAATCAGATGGTAATGTTTGAGGTGAATTGTTACCTATGGAAAACTAAGTCTGAATAGAAATTGACATGTATATATGGAGGGTGGAACAAACAGTTGTGCATTCTTAACATGATGTTATTTGAAATAGCAAACAGGTACTTCGGACAGGAGAGGAGAGCATACAGGATTATGTGAGATAGAAAATAGCACTATTAATTACTGCATTATATGTTGTTTTTGTAGTCATATGGGCAGCCTGTTGTCTCCTGTCCCACAAGGATCCAAATTCCAGTTGGATGCCAGTGTACTGTGGTGGTGTCATTGGAGATCTGGGAATTTGGCTCTCAAAGCACCCCTTCCTCTGTTTGTGAATTTTGCAGAGTTGCTTATGAAAGCTCATATGCCACATTCCAAAGAGGAAACAGCAGTTGTTTAAAAAAGTGCCTCTTCTGACAACATAGCTGTATGATTTAACAAATACTAAGTATCTTTTTTTTTTCTTTTAGGACACCCTCCCATACCTCGTGGAGCTGGTAGTCAAATAGAGTAACTTGTTAAGAATACAAAATAATGTAATACTGTATGAGAGGCCCAAGCACAGAACTAAGTGACAGTATTAGAATGGGCGGGGAATGAGCTTGAGACAATCCTAGAAGTTAACAAGTTAGTTTAAGTAACAGAGTGTATACAGTGTTGTGATTAGATCTTTTCCTTTTCTTTTCTTTTTTCACTTTGTTCAAGAGCTACTGGAATATTGTCATTAGTTTCTTTTAAAAAAAAAAACTTTAATTTTTTGATCACTTCATCTTTCTGTGGTTCACATTCACTTGAGTTTCCTTATGGTGTTGACATGGCATAAGATGTAAAGAAAAATCCCAGCTTTCAAGATGTTTATTTTCACGTATAAATATGTGTTCATGTGAACATATGTATGTATGTATATATATGCACGTACATACGCGTACAAACAGAAAGACGTTTTTAAAAGACATGACCAAAACAAAACTGCTTATCTTTCTCCTTACCCAATCCTTTTCCTAACTTCTCTGTTTTTTCCAGTGTACCATCAGCTTTCCAGGCACCCAGCTTCATCACCTCAGTATCATCTTTGACTCTTCTACCTCCATTATCTCCCACCACCATCCTAGTTCAGGCCCTAATTATTTTTTGCCTGAACTATTGAAGTAGCCTCCTAATTGGTCTCCCTGCCTCAAGTCTCCCCTATCCAACCTGCTCTCCACATGGTTACCAAATTAACGTTCCTAAGACTGACGATGTTGCTTCTCTGCTCAAAAAGAGCCGATCACTGCTTACTGCCTCTAAAGTCACATGCAGACTCTGTTTGGCATTAAAAGTCTTTCACAATAAAATTCAGCTTCTCTTTCTGGGCTTCTCACATACTACCCTTTTCCCCACATCCTGTGCTTCAGGCAGACTGGCTGACTTCTAATACTCCCCACCCCTCCCCCCAGTTATTAGTCTTTCCTCAACTACAATTACTTGTAGCCTTGGGCAAGTAATTAATCTTCCTAGGCCTCAGTTTCCTTATCTGCCAAATGAAGGATTTTTTGAATGGCTTTCTCTTGTATCTCACCTTGGTGAGAAGAAATGGTAGTGGCTGAAGGATGTTAGTATCGAAGACAGTGTTAGACCAATTGATGAATGGTGAAACTCCAGCTTAATTCAACTTAAAAATTTTAAAGCTTCTACTATGTGCAAAGCCTGGGCAGGAGGAAGGATTTAAAATGATACATAAGACAAGGTGCAGGCAATGTGGAAAGGTTTGCAAAGTGCTTCACACATATTATCTCATTCGTGAGTCTTTATCTTTTGATGTAAGGACTATTTCCATTTTACAGATGAAGAAACTGAGGTTAAGAGGTTAAATGTGCCCAGGGTCACACAGCTAATAAATATCTGAGGCAGGATCTGAACCCCAGTCTTCCTCATCCAAGTCCCAAACTCTGGAGTCAGGAGACTTGGATTTGAGTTGAACCTTATTAGCTATGTGATTGTGGACAAGTTGGTTCATTTCCCTGAACTTCAGGGTTCCTTATCTGTACAATGAGACTAATACTGCTTGTTCTACCTCCCTCACAGGGTTTTCATGAGAAAGTGCTTTGTAAACCTTTGAACATTATAAGATATGGGGGTTATTACTAATATATATTATAACATATTACTCCCTCAAGGAGTTTGTAGTCTGGTAAGGAGAATATGATACCCAAAAAAACCCTGTAACTTTTTCCTTTTCTTATTTTGCATTTAAGTTTGAAATAAATTTTAAAACTTTTAAAAAAACCTAATATAAAAGAGAACAGAAATATAAACCAACTATTATATAAGGTCTTGATAATTTCCTACACCTCAGATTAAAACCCTAACCATCCTGAAATCCTTCTTAACTTTCTTTATTAGACCTCAGTTTTGCAGCCTAGTGGGAGTGAGATAGAAGTAGAAGACCTAAATTCACCCTAAGTGTGGCCGTTGGACTAGAAGAAAGAGAGCTGCTGTGGCAATCAGACTTTTGTTCAAATCCTCCTGCTGGTGCTGTGACTTTGACCTTGACCAAATCACAGTCATCTCCCTGACTCACAATTTATTCATCTGGAAATGAGGGAATTGATCTAGATGGTCTCTCAAAGTCCTTCCAACTCTAAGTGTATTGATCCATTTGTGGGATGTGGGGATTACTTCTGCTTATAATTTAGAGGGCACCCTATGATATAACTGATTAGGATCCTAGTATTTTGTTGTGCCATTAGCTAAAATTTTCTTAACAATCTCTTTTTTAATTCAAACTTGTGATTCCAGGTATAAGGTATGCCCAGTATAGAAACTCCCTCTTCCTATTCAGATTAGCAATTTATCTGTGATTAATAGTCTTAGAGACTTGCCCGAGACTAGAGTCAGAGCTCGTCTGGGTCACAGGTGTGTTTTGAACCCAAGTCTTCCTGACTCCAAGACCAACTCTCTACCTACACTGCCAATCTACCTTTCTTCTAAATGATTGTGTAACCAAAATGGCATTCTAATTAGGCCAAAATAAAGCTGATGATGGGAAAGGCAATGTGAGGAAGAGGAAAGAGGGTGTCTGGGGACTGTGCATCAAGAAGCCTGGCTTCTGGCCCTGGCTCTGCCACAGCCAGCACCACCAACTTTCTCCATGATGATGGAGAAGGTCAGTTCTCTTTGGGCCTACTTTTCTAACTCTGAAATGAAGGTTTTGAACTAAATGATCCTTAAAATCCTTTTCAACCTTGTGGTTTAATTTTTAAATTTGTATGCTGAGCACCACCTAGCACATGTACTGGTGCTTAGTAAGCTCTTAAATGCTTGTTGATTGGTTGATGGTTCAAGAATTGAATATCTACAGAGTGTGCGAGTGTGTGTACACATGTTACAAAGACAGCTACCATGTTAATAAAATGTTCAATTTGAAATCCAAAAAAAAAAAGAAGTGAACTTCAAGAACCTGAATCTCCTGAAAAACAGTACTTTCATCTTGTATTTATCTGTGTGTATGCTGTATTCCTGAAGTAAGGGTAAGCTCCTTGAAAGGGCAGGAACTTTTCTGTTTTGATTTTTGTGTCCCCAGTGTCTAGCAGGGGGCCCTGCATCCTCCTAGTCTAGATGTTTATTGAATGTTCGAATTGAATTGAATGTTAGTTCCCTATTCAACTTGGTTTCACTAGCTCTCTGGATAAAATATAAACTCTTGAGACCAGTTTTCTAGATCCTCTAGAACAGGGGTGGGGATCCTGCAGCCTCGAGGCCACTTGAGGACCTAGAAGGCCACATGTGATCTCAAGGCTGCAGTTTCCCCATCCCTGCTCTAGAACCTGGCCCCACTGATTTCTCCCATGTTTTTCTCCTACTTTTTCTGAATTAGAACCCTCTGTCATGACCCCATTGGTCTCTTTACTATCCCAGGAGCATCCCAGATTAATCCCCACTTTTTTGTCTGTGCTCTTGCTGTTCCCCGATCATCACATGGGGATCAAAGTCCAGCTAAAGTTCTAGAAAACCTACTCTGAGTAATAATAATGCAAATTGTATATAGTGCTATATTTTTATAAAGCTTGCTCTTTATAGTACCTCATGATAAGATAGTAAAATTATGATTGTTCCCATTTTACAGATGAAGGAAACAGGTTAAATAATTGGCTCAAGATCACACAGCTAATGTATGTTGCAGCCAGGATTTGAACCTTGGTCTCCTCATTCCATAGTCCAGTTCTCTTTTCACTATACCATGCCACCTTAAGTCCTAGTCATGTTGATCTTTCCCTTCTCCAAATCCTACTACCTATTGTCTGCATGATATTATTTTTTGCACTTAATCATATTTTTTACATATTATTTTGCTGTCTCATGTTTATATATATTTCTTGTTTCTTTATTAGACTATAAGGTCTCAGTGGGTCATCTCTTTCTTTAATATTCTTCATAGCCCCAGCATGGTCCTGGGCGCAGAACAAATAAAAGATAAATATTTGGTCTTATTTGAAATTAGGTAGTTCCAGATAGCTGGGACAGCCATGAAAGGGTGGGCTGTTGGCTTGTGATTTAATTTTCAGCGTGGGTTTAAGGGTTATCTTTGCTAAATTATTTCAGTGAGTGATATACTGGGAGCACACTAAAGGTGGGTTGTGGTACTTGTTTCAGATTCCAAATTGATTCAGAAGGGCAGTTCCCTGGGGACTGAATGGCAGACCCCAGTCATCTCAGAGCCGTACAGAAGCCGCTTCACCCGCTGTTCAAGCGTGGCTGACAGTGGGGACACGGCCATCGGCACGTCATGTTCTGACATCGTTGAGGGTAAGTTTGGATTGTTAATGAGATTACTGACATTGTACTGCCTTTTTTAGACTGTGGTCCTGTGGTTTAGAGTGTTTGTAAAGCCAGTCTAATCAGTTACCAAGTCTTACGGTTTCTTTAAAATGTCTCTCACATCCGACTCTTTCTTTCCATTCCATTGTCGCCACCCTACTCCGGGTTCACCTGATATCTAGACTATTGCAATAAGCTCCTCATTGATCTCCCTGTCTCTCCCAGGTTAATAATATTTTTAAAACACTGGTTTAACATTTTGGTCACAATAATAGATTAGTATTTCAGGGATCTGTAACTTCCTTGTGTGGGGACCCTACTACCAGTGAAGATCCAACATTGCCCTCCCTTAGTAGGGAGTTTTTATGAATTGCTGTTACCACAAAAAATGCAGTACCCAGTTGTCAATCTTCTCTGAACTGGTTCTTGTAGTACAGACTTGCAGTCTGTCACTAGACTTGTATTCAGAGCTCTAGCTTAGTAGGAGCTGCCAGAGCTTGTATTGATTGGTATGTCCTTGGAGAGCTCAGGGTCACCTACCCATGACTTTAGTAGAAAAACAGTAATCATAGCTCACATTTATATAGCACTTCAGAGTTCCTTGCTTACTGACCTCTGGTGGCTTCCTGCTTCAGAGAGGATAAAGCCCAAATGCCTTGGTTAGATATGCAAGGCCTGCCACTATCCACAACAGACCCTCTTCTTTTGCCACGCTTGTATCCTTGCTGTCTGCTCATTCTCACCACTGTGCATTTTCTCAAGTTGTTTCTCTCCTTTTCCATGAAATGTTCATTAGCCCATCCTCAGACCATGTCCATCCTTCACAGTCCACCTAAAATTCTGTGTTGTCCATAAGGCTTTTCCCGTTATGTTGCCTTCCACAGCAATCTTTCCTTCTTTTGCTCTGCACTCCTATAAATCTTACTTTCTGTATTGCTCACTTTGAGTATTTATCAGTTCTGTATTGCCTTGCAGTACTGAGAATGTGTAACGCTAGTTGTAGGGTGTGGAAAAGTTTCTCTCCTCATCAAGAGAGCAACGGTAATTCTAGGTAGGGTGGATTTTCCCAGATGCCCTGTGTCCCTCGCTGAGTGAAACAAAATAGAGCTTTACGGGTTGCAGGATTTTTAAGTGCCTACTATGTGCCAAGCACTGTGCTAAGCCCCAGGGATACAAAAAGAGGCAAAGACAATCCTTGCCCTCAAGTAGCTAACAGTCCAATGGGGGAAACAACAAACAAATATACAACAAGCTATGTATAAGTTGTGTAGGAAATAATTAGCAGGAGGGAAGACACTAGAATTAAGAGGGGTTGGAAAAGGCTTCCCGTTAAAAATGGGATTTTAGTTCAGACTTAAAGGAACCCAATAGGCAAAGTTGAGGAGGGAGAACATTCCAGACATTAGGGGAAGCTAGAGAAAATGTCTATGGCCAAGAGGTAGGGTGTTTTGTTTGAGTAACTGTGGGTAGACAGTGTCACTGGATCAAAGAGTACATGTCAAGGAGTAAGGTGTAAGAAGATTGGAAAGACAGGAGGTTGTGAAGGGCTTTGAATCCCAAACAGAGGATTTTGTATTTGTGTATTTGTGTGTGTGTGTTTGTGTGTGTGTGTGATGATTGGACCTGTACTTTAGGAAGGTAAGAGAATACCAAGGTAGAGAGGAGGATCAACCATGTCAGAGAGTGCAGAGAGTCAAGGACAATGAAGATTGAGAAAAGGCCATTGGATTTGACCACAAAGAGATCATTAGCAACATTGGAGAGAGCAGTTTCAAAGGAATGATAAGATAGAAGCCAAATTGTAAGGGGTTAAGTAGAGAGTGAGAGGAGAGAAAGTGGTGGCACCTATTATTGACATACTTTGTGGGGAGTTTAGCTGCCAAAGGCAGAAGAGAGATAGGAGGATAGTGAGGATCAAGTGAGGGTCAGGAGATACATGGGCATGCTTATTGAAGTGGAGAATGAGCCAGTGGACAGGGACAGATTGAAAATAAGTGATAGAGGGGCAGGTAGGTGGTGCAGCGGATAGTGGCTCTTAAGTCAGGAGGACCTGAGTTCAAATCCGGCCTCAGACCAAACACTTCAAACGTACTAGCTGTGTGACCCTGGGCAAGTCACTTAACCCCAATTGCCTTTAAAAAAAAAACAAAAATAAGTGATAGACTGGGGATGACAGAGGAGGTAATCTGTTGGAGATGGGATGGAATGGGATTGCTGAGCAGGTAGAGGGGTTAGCCTTGGTAAGGAGAGAGGACACTTCATGTGAGACAGGGGTGAAGGAGGAGAGTGTCAGAAGGCATCTGAATGATAGGAGATGAGGAAGAGGGAGTTCACAGCAAATGGCTTGAATGTTTTCTATAAAATATGAGGCAAAGTTCTCAGTGGTGGAGGGAGGAGGAACCATGAGAGGTCTGAGGAGGGATGAAAAGGTTTGGAAGAGCTGCTGTGGAGAGTGGGATAGTGAGCTGATCAGGGAGGTATGGTGGGACTGCCTAGCAGCAGGGAGGCCCAGGTGAGGTTGTGTACCATCAATTTGTAGTAGACCCAGTCAGAACAGTTATGTGATTTTACTCCTTTCGGTGGCTTGTATAGGAGCAAAGGCAGCCAATGGTGGGAGTGATTGAAGGATGAGACTTGGTAAGGCCAAATGATAAGGGGACTAGGAATTCAAGAGAGGAGACAGTATAGAGTTGAATTGATTCACCAAGGGACCAAGATGTGGAAAAGAGGAGAGAGTGGTTAGTGCAGGGGAGATGGCTTGGGAGAGAATTGAGAGGGCAAGGGATTAGAGGTCACAATATGGACGAAGAGTAGGGTTTTGTAAAGGGAGGCAGAGAGATTGGTGAAAAGCTAGTAGGTTTTGGTTGGATAAGGGGATTTTGAAATTCTTGCATGGGGAAGGTGGTACATTTGTGGGTGATGGCAAGATCAAGGGTATGACCATCTTTGTGTGTGGCTGAGGTGGGGAGCTCATGGGAAGTGAGTTGGTTGAGGAACTGAGTGGTTAGGGTATTTGAGGTTGAGTCAGTATGTATGTTGAAGTCCCCTAGTATGTATGGAGGACATGGGGAGGAGAAAAAAAAATTGTGAGCCAGGTATCAAATTCATTGAGAAAGGAAGAGGATTGACTGGGGGTGGGAGGTAGGATCTGTAGACTACAGCTATCAGAATTGTGTTGAGTGGTAGATAAGAATAATATGAAGCTCAAAGGAGGAAGAGTTGTGTGATGGTGGGACTAATTTAGGGGGATGTGTTATTGGGTTATGTAATAACCCTTGTTGCTCAGTTTTTTTCTACATGCTCTCACTCCAGTGATAATGATTACAATTTCCTAGTAGGCAGAGACTTTGACTTACTCCCTTTAGAACTCTCTTAATGTCTAAGTAAAGTGTTCTGGCCATGGTATAGGCTCAGTGAATACTGATTGAATGAATGAAAAGATATGATAAAGTCATTCAAAAACTTTAATAATGGATTTGTACCTTATTGAGTGTTTCCTTTTAAAAATATTTCATTTCTTTTACTAATGTTAATTGTAAACTACCTAGAATTTAAAAATTAAATTGTTTTTTAGGCTTGCGTGCATATTGAATGGTCTTACGGAACTTGAGTACTGACTGGACCCTTAGAAATCATCTAGTCCCACTCTTACCTGAGACATGAAATCCCCTGACAATGCCCTCTTTTGGATACCTCCAATGCCTGGCAATTCATTACTTCCCAAGGCATCTCATTCTCTACCTTCACCCCACTCCCACCCCCTTTTTGACTAATTTAATTGTTTATACTGAGCTAAAACCTTCCTCCCTGTAACTACTTCACATTGATTGATCATAGTTCATCAGTCTAAGGTGTATTGGAACAAATCTCATTCCTCTTTTGCATTACCTTTCAAATGTTTGAAGACAGTGATCATGACCTCATCAATCTTCCAGGCTAAAGAATATATAGAATAATTAGATGTTAGAGATCTTAGGGACCTTAGCGATCATCTAGTCCAGCCCATTCTTTTTATAAATGTGGAAACAGATCCAGAGATTAAGTGAAATAAATATCCAAGAAACCTGCTGGGGTCAAGGGAAATGGCCTCGGTATGAGGAAAAACTCAAAATCATGACCATAGGCTTTGGTGCATTGACAATGGGCAAGCAAAATTAAAAACACAGTGTGCTTCAGTGTTGCTGGAGTGAAACCTGAGAGTTACTAAGAATAACTTCACATTTCCATGTGAAGCCAGGTTTGGGGTGTGTGAACCAGGACACTCACAGGCTCAGGCACCATGCCCCCTTGCTGCCCTGGGCACTAAGGAGACAAGACTTCATTTGTTTTCTAGGGTGATTGTTTTATGCTCACTCTCACCTAGGAGTGGCAAAAGTCACCGGGGTGACAATGTGGCATTTAGTTGTGCCCTGGACTTAGAGGAAATTTCTTTTTGATGGAGTTATAGCTTGTGGTTGCTGATCTATGAGAGGAACTAATTCTTTTCTTCTTTTGGGATCCTTCAGTAAGTAGGTTTTTTTTTTAAATACCTTAGTTTCTTGACTAAGAAGATGCCATTTCTGGGGGTACAGGGTATAGAATGTAACTTCCAGGGAAGGCCTGGAGATGTGGCTCTAGAAGCAGCCAGTGCTGCCTTTTGTGGCTTTACCTTGGCAAGTAGCAGTTGAGCTCCTGGAACTCACGCCATCCTTCTAAGTTGATGTCCCTTTCTCTGCAGTAGCTCAACTTGGGAAGGCTTGATGCTTTTTTCCTGGCTTATAGAAGGCTCTTCTTTCTCCAGAGTTTTGCAGCTCGAGTGGCAGCTCGTCCTTCCAGCCCATCAAAAGCCAAGTAACCATTCCTACAGCCCATGTGATACCATCTACTTTGGGGACCTCTCCAGTCAAGCCAGCTTCCACCCATACGGGGCTCCTTTCCTCCAAATTGCCTGTGTCAGGATTGTCTGAAAATGTGGGACTGCCCCGGAATGGAGACCTCAGCACTATGAAAAGATCTCCGGGCCTGCCGAGGGATCTCATGTACCTCTGTGGAACTCCTGAGGAAAATGGAATTGAACCGTCCTGGTTTCCTGCTTTGGGCCATGAAAGAGAAGAGGAAATGAGGAAGTTTGATACTCCCAACATGGAGCCAACCCTCAACCAGTCGGTACTGATGGAAACACTGTATTCAGATCCCTACTATCGATTCCACCTGCAAAATCCAACAGCTGAGACAGGCAAGGAGTTGTACAAGGTGCTGCCAGAGACTAAGAAAGCCCCAGGTGTTGGGGCTGGATGTGAACGCAGTGGGACCCATGCGATTGCTGGTGGGCTGCTTCAGGCAGCATCTGGCTTCCCGAAGCCTCTCCAGTTGCAGGGGTGGCCGCAAGGCCCTGACACTTGGCATTCCCAGGAACAGTCTTGTGAACTCAGCACATGCCGACAGCAGCTGGAGTCAATTCGGTTACAGATGGAACAAATGAAGGTAAACATCCCTTTTCTTGTTACTATAGTATTATCTTTGCTAAGACCTGGTGTAGTGAAAACATTGGATTTTGAGGCAAGAGACTTGGGTTTAAAAGTTCTAGCTCTGATGCCTACTAGCTAGCTGGGGGGAGTCACTTAGCGCTCCATAAGCCTGTTGTCTCATCTGTAAGATGGGGGAAATCTTACTTGTGATACTGATGGTATAGTAGAAAGCACTAGATTTGGAGTTCTAAGAACAGAGTTTGAACTCTGGTTTTGCCACTTACTCACTGTGTGACCTTAGGTTAATTTTCCCTTCTAGGCTTCTATCTGTCAAATGAGGGAGTTGGACTAGTGGATCACTTAGGTCCCTTGTAGCTCTAAAGCCTTTGGTCCTACACCTACCACATAGGTATTGCAAGAAAAATACTTTGTAAATCTTTTTTTTCCCCTCCTTTTTTTTTTTTTTTTTTTTTTGGCTAGGCAACGGGGTTAAGTGACTTGCCTTGGGTCACACAGGTAGCGCGTGCTATGTGTCTGAGGCCGGATTTGAACTCAGGTCCTCCTGACTCCAGGGCCAGTACTCTATCCACTGTGCCACCTAGGTGCTCCCATACTTTGTAAATCTTAAAGCACTTTAGAAATGTGCATTGCTGGAGGTACAATACTATGTTAGTCATTCTTGAGCACTGACTTATTAACGGTTTTTGGGGCCATAGGTACTGTCCTCCTAGGATTATTTAGCTTTTGCTTTGAGTACTTGTAGTTGACCTAGAGTAGTCAGAAAAAGGAGATAAAGATTACTTATCCTGGAGATGGAGACATTGGATAAAGGAAAGCTTTGAGACCACTGGTACTTAATAGACAGAAGACGTTTATAAGAAAAGAGTTAATAGGAGAAAGACAAAAAAGCTTCAGCAGTAAGAGGAACTATTTCAGAGAAATCCAGATGCTGCTGCATGATGATGCTGTAAGTATATATATGCACCATATTGTTTCCAAAGTTCTTTGAACTATCTGATTTGATTCTTCCAACATCCTTGTGAGTTGAAAAGGCAGGAGCTGTTAGTCTCATTTTATAAATAAGAAAACCAAGACTTGAACTTAGCTAAGGTCACGCAGCTAGTGTGGATGGAAGCCTAAATTTGAACCTATTTTTTCAGACTTCAGACCCGTGGTGTTTTTCCAGTTCTCTGCTTCCTCCATTGAAGTGAGTAGGGGTGGTAGGAGGAAGAATTCTTAGCCCGTGGATGATAAGAACAAACTCAGCTGTGTGATTTGTCTCTGTTACCAGATAAAGCCTAACTGACCTTTCCTTAGAAGTTAGAGCCCTGCTTGAGGGCAGAGGAGTATGTAGCTTGCAGGCAGAGCCTCCCTCATGAGTTTCTTCCAGTCCTGAAAGAGAGCTAAAATTAGTCAGTAAACACAAGGTTCTCTCTGGCCCAGTCAAAACAGAGCTCAGCTGAAGATCATGCTGGCCAGTGACCAGGTGCCTGTCACAGCTCTTCTGTCATTTCGATTCAGCAAGCTTAATAAGGACCTCTGCTATCTACTGCACTGTTCAGGCATAGGAAACCAGAAGATAGAATAAGGCACAGATCCTGCCCTTAGGGAGTTTAGACCAATGGGGGGGGGGGTGTTAAGAGATGAAAATAGACACATATACAAATATCTGGTCCAAGGCAGAGCTAATGGAGTACAAAGCATAGACCTAAACCATGTGTGCTGAGAAATTGGAGAAAGAAGTCATTGTTCATCTGGGGGATATGAAAAGGTTTTTTGGAGGAGGCAGGCCTTTCACACAGTAGGCAGTGAGGAGCCCCTTCTGGTTATGGGGGTGGGTTAAGGGAAACATGATAACTTTCTTCACAAGGTGGGTCCTTAATAAATGCTTATTGATTAATGGATTCGGTCAAGTGTTTGAAGGGCTACAGTGGAAAAAGAATTGGACTTTTCCATTTTGGATCCAGAAGGCAGAACTAGAAGAGTGGATAGAAGTTGCACAGAGGTAGATTTTGGCTCATTATATAGAAAAAAAAAATCTTCCTTTAATTTTTTTTTTTGAGGCAGTCAGGGTGAAATGACTTGCCCAGAGTCACACAGCTAATAAGTGTCTGAGGCTGGATTTGGACTCAGGTTGCACTATCCACTGTGTCACCTAGCTGCCCCCTTCCTATAAATTAATGTCCAGATATGGAATTGGGTGGCCTTGGTAAGTGGGGAACCCCCACCTAAATAGAGATCTTAAAGCAGAGGGTAAATGATTACTTTCCCTGGATATCGTAGAAGGAATTGCTCTCCAAGCAGGTTTGGACTAAAGGTACCTTCCAACCATGAGAAACATCTGGAAAGGGAGAGGGGAGTCAGATTGTGGAAGGCTTTGAATGCTGGAATGTAAGTTTATACTTCATTTTGAATGGGTAGGAGAGGCCCTGAAGGGTTTGGAGTTGTGACATTAAGCCACTTCCAGTGAGCTGCTTGTCTTTCAGCTTCAGAACGGAGCCACTTGCCACCACCCCACAGCTTACGCTCCATCTGTGCCAGCCTTGGAGCCAGCCCAGTGGGTGAGCATCCTGAACAGCAATGAGAGCCTCCTGAAAGAAAAGGATCTTCTCATCAACAAGTAAGGCCCGAGGGGAGAGGGAATGCCCATTCAAACTCATAACTTCCTGGCTTCTTATATTTGCCTCAGAGGTCCCCTCGGAGGCAAAAGAGCTGTATTAATAACGAGCCTGTTCTTGAATATGCCTAACATCACCTGGGAGTATGTGTCTTTTTGAGGACTGACTCATCTTCACTCGTTTGTCCCTTCCCCCAGAAATCCTTTTCCTTCTTCCGTTCCCTGTCAGCCAGGCCTTGAGATTCTCATCTCAGTTAAATAGGACTGATTGTTCCTATCTGCTTAGTGAAAGGGAAGACTCCGATTTCAGGCAGGCTGTCACTCAAGAAGGTTGCTTTGATGTGTGCCTGTGGTTGACTTTGCAGGCAGAGGCAGCATATCTCTCAGCTGGAACAGAAGGTCCGTGAGAGTGAGCTTCAGGTCCACAGTGCCCTGTTGGGCCGTCCTGCCCACTATGGGGATGTCTGCATGCTGAGGCTACAAGTAAGTACTCACGGCCAAGAGTCACGTGTTCAGCCAGCGTTCAACTGTTGTCGTGGGCTTGTGTGTGTGTGTGTGTGTGTGTGTGTGTGTGGTGGGAGCAGGGGTAGAGTGAGGGTGGGGAAGCTCAAGGGGGAGGTTGTTACAAAGATAACATACAATAACTGCCCTTAAACAGCTCCCATTATGGTAAGGCAGTGTGGTGTAGTGGAAAGAGCATTGGATTTCAAGTCAGGAGAGACCTGGGGCTCAAATCCTGCCTCTAACACCTACCATTATAACTACAGGCAAATAGCTTTACCTCTTAATCTCAGTTTTCTCATCTGTAAAATGGGGATAATAGGATCCAATTAGACAATAAATATACATCACTTTGCAAATTTTTGAGTGCTGTAAATATGTCAAATATTGTTGTAGGGAAGACACACGCGCGCACACGTGCACACACACACACACACAGAGCCAGAGGCTTCAATCTTTTACCATAATATGAAGTAAAATTTGAAAGTGCAACAGAAAATACAAGGCACTGTGGCTGCTCCCAGGAGGGAGTGGTCACTCTTGGATGGGATACCAGGCATGGATTCAGCAACTGGGCCTTGAAGGATGAGTAGAAATTACTAGAGGGTATTCTGGGTGGAAGAAACTGTGAGCAAAAGCACAGGGACACAGAGGTTGGAAAGCATTTTTGGGTCATAGCAAAGAGTTCAGAATTCAACTCAGTCTTTATTAAGTACTGCCATGTACTCAGCACTGAGAGAGGTGAAAAATATTCGATGTTGTCTAAGTATTCGCTGTTGTAAAAGTATTAAATATTGTAACAGGTATTGCCAACATCTAGTAGATATTGACGCTGGGCCAGAGGAGAGCTTCAGGGGCTTCAGGGTGAGGAGGCAAGGCATTTAGAATAGTGTGGAGGTCCCCGACCCCCATATATAAAATACCCTGGAACTGGAAGAAGGGATTTTTGAGACCCAGTCTGACTGACCTTCCTCCCCCAACTTCCTTTTGTTTTACAGAAGAGGGAGAGGAAAGGAAATTAGCATTTAAATAGCTCCTATGTACTAGGTACTGTGCTGTGCACTAGCATTTAAATAGCTCCTACTATGTACTAGGTACTGTGCTGTGCACTTTTACTAATATCCCTTTTGGAGGTAAAGAAACAGCCTCCCCGAGGGAGGTGGCTTCCTCTGACCTCCGTGGAGGTCAGAGCAGCATAGCTGAGCTCCTGAGGCAGCAGGGCACTGTACTTAGCATCAGCAAGTGCTGGGTTCCAGTCCCGCTCTAGACGCTTGCTAATTGTGTGACCATGGCCAGGCGCTTGGCTTCTCTCTGACAGGAGGAAGTTGAGCGCATTGGCCTCGCAAGATCCTTCTGGCTCCAAATCTGTGCTGCTAATTCCGTCTTCTTTCCACTGTGCCAAATTGCCAGCAGATGGAGGCAGTGATAGAGGCTGAGCATGACAACAAGCCAGCCTGGCCTCACTTTTTTTTTTTTTTTTAAACCTACAAAGCAAACTGGTTAGAAGAGGGAAGAGGCAGCCATTGCTCTGAGGCAAGAGGTGTGGGGAACTGAGGAAGGGAAGTGGCCTCCCCTCATCAGGGCCAAGGTCCTTTGAATTCTATGTTATCTGTCAGCCAGACTTGATTTCCCACCTGTCTGCTGAGTCCAGGAAATGTTCTAGTCATTCATCCACACTGACTTGGAAACCCAGTTCTGTTTACTAACTCTGTGACCTTGGGCAAGTCACTTCATTTCCTTAGACCTCAGTTTCTTCACCTCTAAAATAAGGAGAGTTGAGCTAGATGATGTCTAAAAGTGCATTCTATCTCTAAATCCTATTTTCCTGTGAAGGGATACTTCAGCATTTATATTATGTGAGTATAAAGTGTGTGTGTGTGTGTGTGTGTATGTATGTATGTATGTGTACACATACAGGGAGGAACAGAGGCACTTGTCACACCTATGGCATCTCTCTGGCAGGAGTTGCAGCGAGAGAACACTTTCCTCCGAGCACAGTTTGCACAGAAGACAGAAGCTCTCAGTAAAGAAAGGTCGGAGCTTGAAAAGAAACTCTCTGCCTCAGAAGTGGATGCACAGCTCATCCGGGAGTCCCTCAGGGTGGCGTTGCAGAAACATTCAGAAGAAGGAAAGAAACAAGAAGAAAGGGTGAGTGATAGTGGGGCTGCCTTCTGATTGGAAAAGGATTGGGAGGCAGCCAGAGACAGGTTGGGGCTCCCCTTGCCAAGGCCATGATGCTGATGGCCATGCCAGGAGTAGATGTGAGCCAGAGAAATTTGGACCCTCCCAGGTGGGGCTGGGAGTGGGTGGGCTCCCCAGGCTGTGCTTGCTACCCGTCAACACTGGTTGCCTGTTCTTCAGACTGGTTACCTACCCCAAGGTAAAGAGAGTAGTAACTCGGGCATTCCCCCGTTCACTCCCCCATCCTCTCAGACGTCTTGCCAGCTGGCAGAGGAAAGAAGCAGTTACACCATTCTTCATTGTTTCCAGGGGGTGTAAACACACCTGGGGTTCCAATTGTTTGGTTTTCTTCCTCCCGTGGACTAAAAATGGAGAAAAGTTTGCAACTACTTGCAGAGCTTAGAATCTTTGTCAGTGTACTTCTAATTGCCCTGAAGGATAAATAGGGGGCAGCTAGGTGGCGCAGTGGCCAGAGCACCAGCCCTGAAGTCAGGAGGACCTGAGTTCAAATCCTGCCTCAGACCAAACACTTCACGCGTACTAGCTGTGTGACCCTGGGCAAGTCACTTAACCCCAATTGCCTTTAAAAAAAAAAAAAGGATAACTGGAGGCCATGGGAGCTGGCTTATTTCCTTCAGCTCTATTCTCCCATTCCACACTTCCTAAAGTGTCTGTATTCTTACAGAGCTGCAGCAGAGAGTACTAGAAAGAAGAGTGGGCCAGCGTGAGGCAGGAGACTCTGGCCCGAATCTTGGTGCTTTTACTTAGTGTCTGTGTGGCCATGGCATGGCATTTCCCCTTCTCTGCCCTTCAGGTTCCTCCTGTAAAAAAAAAAGGGTAAATAAAACACTGCTTTCTTACCTCATAGGCTTGTTGTGCCCAGCGTGCTTTGTAAACCATGAAGCAGTAGAGAAATAGGAGTAGTTACCTAACAGCTTTCCAGGTGTAAACAGTGATAGTTTCACCTGAGACAGTGCCATCAGCTCATTTATTGGTCATTCTTTGGTCATGTCTTCCTCTGTAGTCCTATCAAGTGCTTCCTCTGAGATCGCTGGGTCTGTTTCTGTTTCACTGGCTTTTTTTGCTTCCCTTTTGGTAACTTAAGTTAAGAGTAACTTTATTTCTATAGTACTTTCTGGTTAATAAAGGGCTTTCTTCATGGCAACGTTTTAAGTTGGGTAGTTTTAAGTATTATTAGCCTCATTTTACAGATGAGGAAACTGAGGAGGATCAGAGAAGTAAAATAATCTTTCTAAAGTCATATATGTCAAGACCAGGTCTTAAACTGAGTTCTCTTTCTACTACATTATGTTTTTTTTTACTTAGACTTTTTAGATAGAAGTTGCCTTTCCAGTGATTTGTTCATTGTGCAGTTGACAGGTTTTAGAGGGGGGAAATGTATTCCCAGTCCACCCAGGTGAACTGGACAGGAATGCCTTTGGCAAGAAATGTATCTGCTTTTTAGGTTACCTAAGGATTGCTGATCTTCTCTTTCCTTTTGAAAAGTGCTGGCATTATAGATCTGTAATTTGTGTCCCAATCTCAAATGACCTGTTAATCTTTCTCATGTTCTCTGCCCTTATCGCAGTGCAACGTCATTCTGAGTCCCAAGGGAAAGGCTACTGGTTGCAGGTTTACCTCTCAGTTGTAATTGCCAAAGGGAAAAAGATTGTTTGAAGAAAGAAAGTTGACATTCAGGGTCTGATGGAAGCAGACTATGTGCCAACTGAGACAGACAAGTGACTTCCCTTCACACAGGTCAAGGGACGCGACAAACACATTAACAATCTGAAAAAGAAATGTCAGAAGGAGTCGGAGCAAAATCGGGAGAAACAGCAGCGCATTGAGACCCTCGAGCGCTATCTGGCTGACCTGCCCACGAGAGAGGATCATCAGAAGCAAAGCCAGAAGGTAGAAATGGTATCTGACCTGTTGGGGGGAAATGGAGTCACCTAGGAGGTTTATAAGCTCTAGAGTGGGAAAGGACCTGAGAAATCTAATCTAATTCCTTCCATTTTACAGAGAAGAAAACTGAGACCCAAAGAGGTCAAATGACTTGAGGAAGGTCATACCAGTAGTAGCAGAGCTAGAATGCAAACCTAGGTCTTCTGATTCCCAGTCTAGTGTTCTTTTCCCTCTACCATGCTACCCCTCAAGCCTCTGTGCTTCATAAAAGGAAAATTCCAAGTACATGTTGGAAGTTTGTTGGCTGTTGATTGGCAGTTGGATTGATAACTCCTTGAGATCCCTAAGGGAGAAGTACTCCTGACTTGTTGGATCTGAGCCTGGCCTTTTCTCTCTAGCTCCGGGAATTAGAGCTGAAGAACTCAGACCTTCAGGAGCAAGTGACGGACCTGGAGAGAAAGCTGGGAGAGGCCCGGGCAGGCTGCACGGAACGGGAATCTCAGCTCGAGAGCCTGAAACAGAGAGAGCGGGAACTGCTGTCCGTTGTGCAAAGGTAAAGAGCCCCACCCTGGGCCTGCTCTCAACTCCCACAGTAGGCTTTAGGAACAAAATAACAAGGCACTTCAGCACCTAAGGGAAGGATTACTTGAGAGGTGGCACCTGGTTCCCTAGTTAGTAACAGTTATTGAACACTGTAGTTGTCCTTGCCTAGTCGTGGGATGGTGGACCTCTAGATCTCATTACCAGCCCCAGTGCCCTTGTTTATCTCATTAGGAAGTACAGCACCTGAGTGAGCTGGGAGGAGAGGGATGGAGGGGGGAGTGAACCAAAGATCCTCAGCCCTACTTCCTCTAAAAATAGAGAGCTGTCAGGGCAGGAGGCTGGCACATGGACCAGATAACCTGTTGAGGCACTTTGTCTTTCAGTTTGCAAGATAAACAATGTTCGAAGAAGGCCAGTGGTGGGAACCTGGTTCAACAAGTGGAAAGCCCCAAAGTGGAGACTGAATCTTTGCAGAAAGAATGTGATTGCCTGAGGAAGGTGACTGATATAATGTGTGCCCTAGTCTAGTGGGAGGGGAGGGAAAGCTATAGGGAAGGCCAGTGACTCATACCACCTTGCACCTGGCTACCAGAACAGCTGATTTTGTCATTCGAGCTAATGCATTTTACAACTCTTCTGTCTGATGCTTTGTGTTTTCAAAATGTGATTCAGTGCATCCTTTTATGACTTTTAAAATGTGTTTCATGGTAACACTTCACTTATATAGAGACCACTCACTTGATCACTTTAGTTACACGCTTTTGAGGAATCAGGAAGGACAAAAAATAAGACCTTCTAGCCAGCCAAAGTGGGTACCCCAAGGTCCTGGCACTAAAGCCTCATTCTCAGTTCTCATAGTTTAGTCCAGGGGTCGGGAACTTTTGGCCTCAAGGCCACATGTGGCCCTCTAGGTCCTAGGTCAAGTTTGAATCCAAACTTCACAGAACAAATTCTTTAATAAAAGGATTTATTCTATAAAACTTTGACTTAGTCAAAAGGCCTCACCCAAGGACCTAGAAGGCCACATGTGGCTTTGAGACCCCAAGTTCCCCACCCCTAGTTCAGTCCTTCTACCAGAACTCATTCACACTTGTTTTACACACAATTCTAATATTCTAGGTTAGCGGGGTTTAATAGCCTTTTGCAGACTAGAAGTGACAAATTGTAGAGCAGGGGGTACCACTGAAGGTTGTCATACTGTTAATAGCAA